AAAAAAAAAAAAAAAAAAAACATGGGACGGATGTACACACCTGTACTAGATATGAAACGGATGTGTCTATGGCTTCCGAATTCACTTCGACTGCGAAAGAAATTCTTGTCCATGCGATCAACAGCTGTCGGCCGATTCGTGCCGGAGCACCCATCAGCAACAACAGGGTGGATAGCGTGAAACCGTTTTCTCAATTCGGAAAGCCCCCGGAAATGGGTACCACCAACACACTTACCCTGCACCGCTATTTTGAATAAACTGTCTATTTCCCATCGACAAGACACTGTGGCATCATTCGTTCAAAAAAGCTAGGGACTGCTCACATCATCCGCCCCCCCCGCCATTCCCGCGGCGGCCGAATCTCCATCCGTGTCCCCCGAACCTCTGTCGTTCACCGTCCCACTCTTGTTCTTCCTCTTGCTGCTATTGGACCCCTTGCCCTTCGAAACCGCCTCCTCCAAGAAGAAACCGTCGCCCTGACGACACGGAGAAACGCCGTGAGTGTGTTCGCCAATGAACCGAGACCATGATCGACGACGAGATCAAAGTGCCGCGCAAGTACGGCGCGGTGGAAGGAAAACGGGTTAAATACAACGGCTCTGTTGAGGAATGCTGTAGCCGCAATGTTCTATTTTATTTGTGCTGTCTATTGTCTGGGGTATATGCAGATTACCTCGCACACAGGGAGCCCATCGTTCACATCAAAATCTGAAGTAATGACGCACGTGAAAGAGCGCTTACAGCAAAGAAGGAAGTGGCTCATCATTAAAACTATTCTAAGCATAGTTGTGGGGTTGTACCTTCACGTCTCCCCCTTATCTACGTTGTGATCCGCCCTCAACAGGACCTTGAACAAGATGTCGCACTACATCTCGACCCATTTTCTCGCTAGCCTTGACCACGAGCTGCGTCCAGCCTTCGAGCGCTCCATGTCGCACTGCCACCACGTACAAGGACATACCATGTACGTCACCACCCTCCTCCCCGTCTATCCTCCTGAATGCCGTACCAGCTAATCATGTGCTCTACGGAAAAAGCAATAGCTGCATCAGCTGTCTCTCGCACCTCTCCGTCATCTTCGTCATCATCCGCCTCTTCTGCCTCGATACGCTCCTTTATGGCCTTCTTCCTAGCCCTCTTCCTCTCCCTCTCCTTTCGCAGGGACGCCTCCCACGGGGTCTCCATGGCCAAAGCCTCCTTCGCCTTCCGGCGGGCCAGCAAACCCTCCGCCCCTCCTGCAGACGAAAAACAAGAAGGAAAACCTCACCGTGAACACTCCCACGTTCCCTCCGAATGGGGGTAGTCTCTCGAATGGATAATATAGTATTTTCTTTTGAGGTAAGTGTATGTCTTGCGTGATAAATTCCGGTGGGGAGAATACCCACCTTTGGAAGCACAGCACAGCTTGCCTCAAAGAAACGCCTCGAGTCGCTTCGCCGTACTGCCATATTCTTCGCGCTCGCGAATGTTCGTTTGAGCTGGTCATGGTTTCAATACGTCCATCTTGGCTCCCAAGATTTCGGTCTTTTTTCTTTAATGTGGTTCGATAATCTAGGGGCGCAACAGCGGTCACATTCGACGGTCCCTCGAATTTGATTCGAGTCGGACGGGACCCTCCGCCCCCCTCGTGCAGCGGTTGTTGGCGTGTTCACAGGCGATAAAGCGTGTGGAAGTGCTTTAGAAAAATAATCCCGTGCCCGAACAAGCATACGTTTCACAAGCATGAAGCAGGAGCTGGCCAATATCCTTGCGATTGCTGTGTCAGACCAGAAATGCTATGGGTTGACAGCAGTGGTACGCTGATTCGCATATTTTCGCGTGTGAGCATAGTGGGGGGAAAAAAAGGTCGCTCGACAAGACCAAGACGCGGACATTTGTACGATGGCATGGTGCTATGGGGAGTACGTCGGCCGACGAACAAGCCACAACACAACCTTAATCGAGGCAACGGCACCACCGCCACCGCAGCGCCACCAGCGTCAACGACGACGACAACATACAAAAAATATATACAACCACCATACCTGAAACCATCTCTGACCCATCCTCGACCACCGCACCAGCCGAACCGCGAGGCACGAAAGTAAACTCCTGGTCTTCCCCTTCGTCCCTGTCTTGGTTTCCGCTCCCCGAATAAGGCTACCGCGGCGTTCGGCGAAAGAAGACAGGCGAAACCCGTTTCCAGGTCAGAAGAGCAGGGTGACAGCTATCGAATGCCCCGATTGGCCTGAAACATGACTGTCCAACATGCACGAAACCAGTGCGATACAATGGTACAGGGTATATCCCCCGCGGAGAAGCACACTTCCTTCACCTCTGGAGAGAGCGTGCTATGCTGACAAGTGGGTTAACGGGGCAAGCAAGTTGTGCGATTGAGGTCAAAAGCGACGCGCACTGAACGCACGCAACGCGTGAACATCAGCGCCTCGAATCGGGGAAAGCCTCCACAGCAGACCAACAACAGCATGCCGCAATCAACACCCCAACAACGACCGGCTGCACCACCAGAAAAAAAAACGAAAAAAAAAAAACGCCGTCACGCAATCACTGGCCGCGAAAACTACAACCACTTATCCTCACCTCCCACAGCACACATGGAAGCAATGGCCCAGGGTGAGACGTGCAGGTATGGTATCCCCCCCCCGAAACAACATGGCATCGCTATCTAACGATAACAAAACCGACAGAGCGCACCTCTCTACCGCCGGCATCCCCCATCGATGCATCAGAGTCATCGTCGTCATCATCCGAAGACCCTCCGAGCGCGTCTCGCAGGAGGAGCTTCCGAGCGCTGCGGGCAGCGGCCTTCTTGTCTTCCTTTGCTGCTGCCGCCCCGCCCTTCTTGGCTCTGCCACCACCCCCGCCTCCTTCTTCCTTCTCATCGTCGTCGGAGGCAGAGTCGTCGTCGTCGCTTGATGACGCTAGGTACGCCTGGCAAAACCAAACACGTCCCAGAATGATAATAGGGTCTCAATGAGGGAGAATTGATCATGGAGCTTTGATTGGGGCGACTCGGAAACGTTACTCTCCTCTGACGATGTTTTGACTCAGCCGGAGAGTACTACGGGCTAGGTCTTCGGGGCCCTCGAGGTGTTGGAAGCTATGGTGTTAGTTCTAGGTCGCCGCCGAAACGTTGGTGCTACGCCCTCTGCTATCGGGATACAGTAATGCCCCCGTCACCCCCGAGGGATGAAGCCATCGACTTTCGTCGAAGAACGAGGGATAGGAGGAGGGGGGTATTGCTGTCCTACTGGCAGGATGAGGCGGTACAATGTGTTTAGAACAAATAACACAAGGCAGCACTATTGGGTGCGTATTTTCGAGAAGGGTTTACCCTGATGTAGATACCACGGAACGTAATGGGTGGAAAGGTATGGTATGGGATGGAACTCGCAGCAACTACACCAGCTTCCTCGAAGGAGTACATGACAAACAACGACCACAGCTGCACGGAGCGGTTTTTTTCCACGGAGCGGAGCGGAGCGGAGCGGTTTACACCGCTCCGCTCCGCTCCGTGGGATTTTCCCTCCAGAAAAAACCGCTCCGCTCCGCTCCGTGACATGAACAAAAAAACCGCTCCGCTCCGTGACAATTTTGCCCTCGGATAAACCGCTCCGCTCCGCTCCGTGGGGCTTCCCAAAAAACCGCACAAGCGGTTTTTTCACGGAGCGGTTTGAGCTACTCCGTCACACAAGCACGGATAAAACCGCAATGCAGTCACGGTTTTTCCCACGGAGTGACGGTTTTTCTCCCACGGAGTCGCGGTATTTTTCTGTTTTTCTGTTCTACTTTTACAGCAGCCACACAAATAACCGTGCCCACGCACACAGCAGCAGTCCGTGCCACACACACATACACTCCGCGCAACGCACTCCGTGCACATCAGTCCGTGTGCACGTCTGCCTGATGGAGTCGACACCCGACCCTGGCGACCGCCCTTCTGGCGACCGCTCTTCTGGTGCTGCTGGTGCTGGTGCTGGTGCTGGTGCTGGTGCTGCTGGTGCTGGTGGTTCTGCTGCCGCTGGTGCTGCAGCAGCAGCGGCGCAACCTGCAGCCCTGCTGAACACGGTGCGCAGCGTCAAACGCACCGTCATCAACGTAGCAGAGACCGTGGCAAACGGGACTTTGTCGGGAGTTTGGACGTATTTCCAGAAGCTTGACCGGCCGGTGAGCGGCGGGAAGAACACGCGATGCATCGTTCCCGATGAAAATGGGAAGCGAGCAAGGGTGGCCACGACCGCGTACGAGAGGCGTCAGGCGCGGAAGGTCCAGGAGGCAGCAGCTGCGCGGACGAGCGCGCGTAGAGACCAGCCGTCTGTAACGGACCGCGTGCAGAAGGAGGTGGATGAATACACCAAGCTGCCTGCCGCCGTCCCCGCGAAGGACTACGACGTCCTCGGTTTCTGGAGGGATGCCGGCAGCCCGCGTCTTGACCCCCACGGCAACGTTGTTTCTGCCGCACAATTCCCCATCTTGTCCATGCTTGCTCGCGTGTACCTTTGCATTGACAGCACTAGTTGCCAATCAGAGAGGGAGTTTTCGGGGCTAGGATTCGTGTACAACAATCTTCGGCAAGCGATGGTGCCCGACCGGGTCGAGATGGTGATGTTCCTTAGGTCTAACCCCCATCTTATTCCCGAGATCAATAAGTTGGACAACGGGTTGGGGAAGCTGCTTGCAGCGCAGGCTGTTGGGAAGGCTAAAGCTGCATCTGTCCAAGCCGCGAATGCGGGAGAGCAAGTGGTTGTCGATGTCGACTCTGAGTGAACTAGAGGCGTGTTGTATTTGGATGGATACACGAGACGCCTGGCAAGTTTCAACAAGAGGCAAGTGAGATTTCATGTGCTGTTGTACGTGTTGCAGGAACGTATGAACGAGTCGAGGAGGTATCGATGTGAATGGTTCCTCTCTAAATAATAAATTAAGTGAATGATTGACAGCTTTTTTTGTCTTTTTGGGCTGTCCTAGTCGCGAGGACGCATACAGTGTCACCCGCGGCCTCCAACCACAGCACACAGTACGGAACAATCGGTCTTCGGTGCACGAAACCCAACGGTTTTCACGAAATTGCAGGTGCTCCGTCGATTGTGTACGGATATCCGTGCGGTTTCGACGTTTTTTTCCGACGGAAAACCGTGCTCAAAGCCACGGTTTCGCGCGGTTTTTGCTACGGAGTAAAGGAACCGCTCCGTACAAAAAACCGCACTACGGATAAACCGCTCCGCTCCGCTCCGTGGCATGAAAAAAAAAACCGCTCCGCTCCGTGAGGCTTTTGGCTTCGGATAAACCGCTCCGCACCGCTCCGTGATAGTTTCAAATGAAAAAAACCGCTCCGCTCCGCTCCGTGGAACTTCAAAGAAAAAAAAAACCGCTCCGCGGAGCGGTTCTACTCCGTGTACAACCCTGCAAATAATAATAACAGCTGCAGCAGCAGCTACAGCAGCATCAGCTACAGCAGCAGCAGCAGCAGCAGCAGTTGCGGAGACATCAGCGGCGCCAAGTGGTTACCAGCGAGAGCAAGGGCGTAGAGGTCTTCTCACCTCGAAATCCTCCTCCGCTGCGTCCCTCCACTGAGAGACCCTCCCCAGCAGCACTTGCCTCTCGGAAGGCGCCTCGTCCCAGGTGCACTCCACCCTCGTCTGCTGAAGGGCCTGCAATGGTGAACGAATGGGCGTGGTTTTTTCTTCATCGAGCGCGAGCAACTTCAACCGGAGTCCCTCCAACGGAAGGTTCGAATTTCTGAGCATTACTAAAATAAAATCGGTAATCCTGCGGCATGCTGCGGGCCAAAGCGTAGCACAGCGGAGCATGGGTAGGCGTAGCGAAGCATAGCGTAGCACACCGCAGGTGAGGGTAGAGAGCACAGCAGGGCAGTGGGAACGCGGCATGCGGACTCGTGTGGTATGGTGTGGTATGGATCGCATGATGTAGCATGGTGTGGTATGGTGTGCTATCCTGTGGTGTGGTGTGTTGGTGTGCGTACCTTGCAGATGAAGGAAGGCGGCTGGTACGACGAGGGCACGGAGGAACTCTTGTCCCGGACCTGCCTTCCCTCGAACGATACATCGTCCGGGATGAACCGCAGGTCTAACGCCACCGACGAGTGCTCGAACTCCATCCCGTCGACCTCCCTGTTTTGCGGCACGGTTGGTCCCGACAAATTAAGAGTCAGCTATGCATAGCAACACGAGAGACAGCTTCAATGCTAGCGAAAACGATGTTTCGTTGGCCTCACCGTGCAGCGGTACGCAAACGATGTGATGTTGCCGTCGCCATTTAGTGCTGCTCTTCAGGCCACCGATCTTCTCATCGTTCACGTGTGGATCGTCTAGCACTCATGTACGACAAAAAAGATGCCGGGAACGCGCCGGGTCCCTCTCCTTGGCGATACGTCCAATTCGCTACGAGGGGGGAGCGTGTTGAGACCGCTACGGTTCCTCCGTACAGCAAACTTAACACATGGTCGGGCGCTCGTCCAACCCCCCTCTGACATGCTCAAACGACGAAATCGCACTCGTTTTTCTTGAACAATACGTAGTCGGACCCTCGTTCGACTCCCCTTTGCCAGTACTCGAGTCACACAGCTTTCGTTTTTCATGAAGGTCTTGCGCTCATCTCCCCGAAAAAAGTAGTACGTGGGCGGCACAAACACCGGGCAAGGTTCATAACCTGTAGATGGCTTCCGCGGCGGCCACGGAGCTGCACTCCAGCACCGCGAAGTAGTACTTGAGCTTCCGCAGCTCGTACACCCTCAGCGTCTCCGGATCGAAGCCCTTCGAGTCGTTCCCGCGTCCTCCTCCGTTCCCTTCGCCCGCCGCAGAAGGAAGGCTTTTCTTAATCGATCCGGAACCGTCGATATTCTCTTCCTCATTGTCGTCGTCGTTGTCTTCCTCATCCCCCCCGGTGGTGCGGTACTCTTCGATGATGACGCCGGGGCGGCGGCGGCGCACCCCCCTGCCGTCGACCGCGGTCCCTGCCGGGGTGGAAACGCCGCCCACCGCTCCTTCCCCGCTACCGCCCTCGCCGTCGCCGTCGCCGCAAGAAGTCGCTTCTTCTTCGTCGTCGTCGTCGTTGTCGGAGTGGCCACCACGTTGTGCGGCTGGAATGCTGGAAGGGGTTTTGTTGCAAGGTGGCGTGCGGGGGGGGTCAACACAATGGTGGTTTTCTATCCAACAAATGTTCGTCGGTCCGCGTGGTTCTTGGGACGTTTTCGAAGGACCCTATCGCGTGTGCGTCCCGTCCCTCAAAAGGAACGAACATGTGGGCACTGTTATCACGGTAAGGAACCCTACCGAAGGAAAGCCGTACTCGATCCCAATGTCCCAACAGTGATAGAAGCACGTGCTACCAAAAACAACGCCAACATGGGAAACAAAATAATGCACATACGCCCCAATTCGAACGCACGAATGCTAGAATATCAGGGTATCGGATGGTTTGTGTGAGCGTGAAGGCTGTTCGGGGCATCTGATTGAGGAAGTCGGCCCGCCGCTCGTAGATTCGGCTGGGCAAAAAGAGGAGCGGCAGACGAGATCACCGCAGAGTTCTGCGCGACACAGAATCGAGGACTACGAGGGGGAGCTGATCGAGCGGGAGCCGGACAGCTTTAGCTTGTGCACCATGCCATGGTGGACATCGGTGGGTGACACAGCCTGCTACACTCCTTTCCAGGGAGGCAAGAAGCGACACGTCGTCGTTGCGCTCCCTGGCACACCACCAGACCAACGGATAGCAAGAACATCACAACATGAAGGAACACCAGGGACACTCCAAGACCAAGGAATGGCAAGAATCAACTACCTGTACGACAATATTGCCAACACCATGAATCGCCTCCGACCACCGCAAAAACGACAACACCATCATCACCGTGAACCAGTTCAACAAGAACGACAACACCGCCATCACCACGAACCACTTCCTACCACCACAACAGCAGCCCTCGAGTTCCCAAGCCCCGCGCCACCGTCTTCGCTCTCCCCCCCCCCCCAAAAGGAAAAGCTTCCACCCACCTGCCGGAGAGAGCCGCGTGAGGACCCGCCGCTGCTTCCACCTTCATCATCTCAAGCCCGAAGTCCGACGGGTACACCTCCACCGAGAGCAGTCGGGCACTGCCGGGGCAGAAAGACCCGCACAGCACCATCAGGTCCTTCGCCCTCATGTGGTCCCAGTCGCAGTTGGTGATCGCGAGCCGCCTGGAAGTGTCCTCCGACACAGGAATGGCCTCTCTGGAGGGGTCGTCCAGTCCCGCCCTGCCAGCGCCTGCCGTGGGGAGGGGGCAAGATAGGAGCGTGGGGTCGTTCAGCGCAAGACCGGACGAGGATTCGTACGAGAGAAGGGCAGTGGAGCGGGAATAGGTGTGGTATGGTTTCAAACGCGTTGTTATTCGGAAAGCCGAGCCGAGGCGGTGTGATCACACCGAGGCGCTATGGGTGGTAGCCCGGTGGTCAAAAAGAGGACCAAGCTCCGTCGAACCAATGCCCGGCATGATCACAAGCAGCTCAAAAGCAATATAGTCTGTCAGAGGAATAATTGTGATGCGGAAGGAAAAGCGCGTTTGTGTGCCTGGAAATGGTAGTATCTGCGGGGGGTCGATGCGGTCGGCGAGGATTTCATCTTGCGCGGGAGGGTTTGAAATATATCTGTACAGGAAGAAGCAGGAGGGACAAGTACGGTTCAAATCTACCAAGTGTGCCTTGTATCGGTCAAACACACGGGCCACGAGGAAGCAAGCACCAGGAAAGGGCTGTGCATTCGCGCCCACGTGCCCTCTGCAGCCTCACGCACCAGACTCAGACCCGCCTTCGTCATCCTCATCGCTGTCATCGTCGTCATCGTCCGAAGTATCCGAGGATGACCCCGATATCTCCCCGCGGGAGAGTCGAGTGAGGTAGGCCTGTCGAGATTCTTCCGCAGTGGCCATGCCCCCTTCCCCCTTCTCCTCGTCTTCTTCCTCCTCCTCCTCCTCCTCCTCTTCTTCCTCCTTCTCCTCCTCCTCCTCTTCCTCTTCCTCGTCCTCATCGTCTACACCCGACCCCTCGTCGCTTTCGTCGTCAACCTGTCCGTCTCCTTCCACTTTGTAGAAGGCGCGGAGCTGGCTCTTGGCCTTCTTGCACGCCTTGTCCACTTGACGCCCGTACTTGTCGACTTTGGCTGAAAAAAAAGGACAAGAACGGTGTGATGGGCCAAGGCAGATGATTACAAAATGAGGATGATTGCTGGCCCAGGGTAGCGTCGAAACTTGAGCGGTAGGATGACAACAACACAGAACAACAGGTACCCCCTGCGACATTCTCCAGCACATGCGATCGAATCGTCCTTGGATCACTAAACGGTGCGGAGTTCGCTCGATAGGTTCAACAGAGACACGATTATTTTCTTGTCTGCGCCACCAGCACACGGCCGTTCGCAGCCCCCATGATAACAACAAGCCTCAGTGTCTCTCTTTTCTCGCGCAACCCCCACTGCCTGAAGCGCGCACAGAGCAATGACACTACTCCAAAGTCTCCGGCTCTAAAAAAAACACCCGCGTTCCCACCCTGAGCGGGTGCACTTCCTCAACTCCGGGCTCCAAATAACGGTGGTAGAGGGGGAACAACAGAAGCCGCGACTCTGTTTGGGAAGTTGGGAAGCTAGTACGTTGACTCTGCGACGCATCCCTTTACTGGCGTAGCACTCACAAGCAGACACCTGAAACCGCGGGTCGGTGAGCACCGCCTTGAACCTTTCGTCCAGCTGAACCTTACGCTCGTCGGGCTTAACTCTTTGGAACGCCTGGGGATTCGACGTTTGTTGGGTGGAACGGTATGAGCGGTGTCAAAACAACCGTGGTATCTAGCGTACCAACCCAGCAAGAGGTAAAAATGGCGTGGACCGTTAGGGGAAACATAGGTGCCGTAAATGACACAAGATAGCACACCCCCTGGACCGATTTTCAAATCCCGATTTCTCAACAGCAGATAGAGCCACAGCGCCGACAACGGTCACGTTGAAGCTGTCTCGTCGAGAGCTTCCCGAAAACGTGTTGTTTCATTTATTCATCCTCCTCGTCGTCGTGGAACGGCCATACCACGCCGATCGCACCACCTTCCGTCCGCTCTGTGAAGTTAAGCGGCGTCGGGCCAGGCTCGTACTACTGTGGGGGACCACGTGGGAAGCCCTGGTGCTGTCCCTGTAAAAAAAAAGCCGGTCGCCCCGGTGGTCTAGCTGGTAACCTCGAAACCTTCTAGAGGTCAGGCCAGGGGTTCGAATCCCGGCGTAAGCGAGCTTTTCTTGCAAAGTGAGTTTTTCTCTCGCTTCCGCTCCTGGCCTAGTGGATTGCGCTAGTTCGTGTGTACACAGAGGGAAGAGAGTGCTACACTCTTCTCGCATTAAAAATCGAAGGCAGGCAAAGTACCGCAGGAGGGGAGGGTAGAGAGGGGCTCTTCTGTGTGACCACGGGTTGGAGTAAACGGCACTAGTGCCGTGAGCGCTGATTTGAAGTGAAGACCAAAAAAAAATAAAGAGAGCTTTGAAAATTGGTCCAGGGGGTGTGTTATCTTGTGTCATATACGGTATGTAGTGTAACAGATACGCTTGAAACAGTTCGACATTTCGCTCAGAGGGTATGTGTCGACGTCTTCACAAGCGTGAGGCTAGGAGTGAAGATGGCAGGGCAAGAACAACGATACAAAACACGACCATCACGCTTCTTATGCACACCCGAGACATTGAGGAATCACAGACCATGGCTGGTCATGCTACGAGGCTCAGCCTATTTCACTGCGGCAGCCTTTCGACATTCATTTGTAGTCAAGTGCACTACGTAAACATGGCCGGTGGAGGAGATACGAAACAACTTCCGACTGCTGTGCTACTAGTGTACATGCTGTCTACCTTCAATTCTGGTGGATGAACATACATGTGGAGCTCGGCTAACTGCGGGTTGCGCGCCGTACGCACGTGTACGACACAGCGTAGAAACCGTACCAGACACTGCTACACTGAGTGTTTGTTTGTTTGTTTGTTTTTCTCCCATCATTGGACTCTGTCGTCTGCCCCTCTGGCCCCTGTCCTCCACTTCTACTAGCTAGACGACCCAACCGGGGTCACATAGGAGGGGGGGGTTGGACCCCCTCCTGCGGTTCATGCCTGAGGTATTTTTATCGCGAGAAGGGTACAGCAATCCCTTCCCTCGCGACTTACGAAGTCGATTATGGTTTACTAACAAACGAGCTTTGCAGCGCGTCGCTTTCATCCTAGACCAGGATTTATTTAGTGAGAAAAACTCTCTCTGCCGGGACTCGAACCCATGACCTGGCCCTTAGCAGGCTGCGAGGTTACCCACTAGACCGCCGGGGCGACCGGTGTGTGTGTTTTCGTCAAATTTAGTTTGGTGACAGTCCCCCCATTTTCGTGGTGAGACGTGTCCTACACTTTCAGCGTATGAAGGGTACTCTTACACTTTTCGGTGTATTTTTTCGTACAACTACAACCATCCAGGGTCACACAGGAGGGGGTAAACACCAGGGCTTTTTTCTTATTATTTCTTTTCGTGCCCCACCTTCCTCCTGCGGTGCGTGCTGAATTTTATTTTTATCGCGAGAAGGGTCCAGCCATCCCTTTCCCTCGTCAACGGTGCTCACGTCGAAGTTTGGTACTCACGAGAGCTTGTCAACTATATTTCGCTTTCACCCGTAAATTTCGTAAACTTTTCACCCGATGGGGATTCGAACTCACGACCTCTGCGACTAGCGGATTACGAGGATACCACTAGACCACCGGGGCGACCGGAGTACCGAGGGCCAGCCACACGCGCTGGACACACAGCGCGGCCGCGGCAGGTAACCCACCGCCGCATTTCATCGGAACCCGAATGCTCTGCCGCACACGAAACGTGGTTGTTGCATGTGACGTGAGAACCGCCCGTAGCCCACACTCACCGGCGCGCTGTGCATGGAGGAGAACCTCGAGTCTGACACCACGGGAAACGACTTTCCGCCGTTGACAGCACCTGCGCCGCCACCATTGTCACCCTTGTTGTTGGTGCGCCCTCCACTAGTTCCGCCGCCAGCTCTACCCCGGGCCTTCTTGCCTCTCCTTCTGCCCTGCGGCTTCTTGTCAGCGCCACCCACCATGATCGACCCGTCTGTGTCCGCCGTCCTATGCTACTGCTGTGTGCTACCCAGCGCACAGGGGGTCAACAGGTTGCACTGAACCACTGCTGTCCACGCCTCGCCTGGTGGAAAGCTCACAGTCCCGCCAGCGATCAAAGCGATGCGTGTCGGACGTTGTTGCAGATCTTTCTCTACGCGAACTTCCCGCCCGTCTGTATCGGAGTGCTGACCAACCACGCAAGTCCTTGACTGCCGACCTTCTTTCGTGTAGCAGGCTAACCCAGCTGCTGTCTGAGAGGTATGTGGACATGATGTGGGCTGTGACCGGCGGAAAAAAAAAAAACGGCCGGTGGCTATCCCCAAACTGACAACGCCTTTTAGCCAGACTGAAACCCCTGCGCTGGATTCTGTTGGAGCCGCCAGTCAGGAACTCTCGTGTCTCTCCCTCCATTCACTCTCCTTAGTCCAGAGGGTCAGAGCGGTCCAAGTCGTCCACTACGACAACTCGCGCAGCACTCTAGCGTCGATCATGTTCAAGCCAGGCGGATTGTTCGGGCCGAAGCCGGGAAAGGCCGCTCTGGATCAGGCAATGGGAGGCTCAGGTTCCGCTGACGGCGGCGGCGGCGGCGGCAGCAGCAGCAGCAACAGGGACGACAACAAGAAGGGGAGGGAAGACAAGAGCTACGGCGGGTCGGGGTTCGATCCCAGGGGCCTAGAACGAGCGGCCAAGGCTGCCAAGGTGTGTGCTGTTGAGAGCTGGTGGTGGCGATGCGGTGCGTGTCGGTCTGTGTGTTGTTTTTGCACCGCGGAGCTGTCCGTTTGTTCGTCTTCTGAAGAGGTTTGGATGTATTATGTGCGGCTACAACGCACCACAGCATCGATGCGGCGTTGCTGCTGCGGAGAGGGACGGAGAGTGTGCTTCTCAAGCTTGCATGTCTGACTCTGGGGGCACGGCTCGGCGTTAGCAATCAACAGAAGAATCTTGCAGCACTTGAGCAGTTCGGCTTCGTTCGCCCTCATGCACTCTCGGGTAGTCGTCTTGGTGCACAGCTTCGTCTATCGTTGCCCTTCGAGTGATCCTGCTCAATACCATCTCTCTTTTCGACGCCACGAGAGAATATCTGAGTGAAGAGACAGCCTACCAGGCTCCGAAACTGCTGGGTAGCAGGCTGAAGAACTTCAAAGTGTTCATTACACGCTATGGCCGGTGTGCGTCCGCACCTACATGGAGGTGAAAGAACGGGCGCGTATCAGCTTCCGATAAGAGGCCGTGCGGCATACCCTAGAGAGGGTCTTCGCACTGCTGCTGTTGGTGTCGTATCGTTGCCGTAGGCGCGGGGCAATAGGTGTGGCCTCCGCTATTCCGCCAGCGGACGTCGGGCAGTAGATACCTGTTCTGTAGCGTGGGTCGTTGACGACGGCCTGAAGTATCGGAACCACAGCAAGCTCTGAGATGTGAAGTGGTGCAGTCACGGTTGCGAGGGCTACCCCTTTGTCCGTCGTACGCTGGGTGAAGCGTGCCGCATTGAACCCCGGGTGTTGCTGAACCCGATCTGGTGCCGGTCGAAGGGCTCTATTAGGAACCCGTTCGCTGTCTATCCCAATCCCTACCCCCCCTACGTCGTACTTCCGTATGGTGTCCAATCTCTGAAACTTGTGAAGGTGAAGACAGCAACTTACATGCACACCGTAGGTGATACAGACACAAGAAGGCGGTAGAACCGTCTCGTCGATAACTTTTCGAAAACGTGTCGTTTGATTTTGGCATCTCCTTTCGTTGGGGAGTAGTCGAGCGTTGAAAATCGGTCCAGGGGGGGTGATGGACATCTTCCGTCGCCTGCGGCACCCTTTGATGCGTCGCACGCGTCAACTGCACTGGGTAAAGCATTGCCACGTCTGATCCCCGAAAGTATTGCTGAATCCGACCTGCTGCCGTCCGGAGGGCTCTTCTGGAGTCCGTTCGCTTTATATCCCAACCGCCGGCCCGCCTTATTCGTGTCCATCCTGAAACTTGTCAAGACGACGAGTATGCATGCAGGCCCTTGCCTCCCCCCACAACACGTGCGGGCAACTCAAGATCGTTACAATTGCGCGTTTTGAACCCCAAACACCCGTCCGAACAGATTCTTAATGAGTCGCCCAATGCGTCCATGGCGCTGGACCTGATCAAGCAGCAGGAGATGACCAAGGCCGCGGAGCACCGCAAGCAGGAGGCGGAATACGCCGCCTACGTCAAGCAGATGGAGGTGTGTGTGTGTGTGTGTGCGTTGCTGCTGCTGCTGTGCAGAGTTTTGTTGGGAAACCATGAGCAGTATCTATTTCTCCCTTCAGAAGCTGGCGTCAGTCGACCTTCCCATGAGAAGTTAAAGTTTCATCGCATGCCTCCATGGGGGAACAACTTTGAAATTGTTGGCGTTATCCGAAATCGTAATCTATAGACGGTGATTGGTGCGGAATTGGGCCTTTAGGGGATTTTGGTGCAAAACTTAAACTTTCATGCCTGCGGCAAGGAGTTTGGTCAGAGGTTCAGGACGGGAAGAGTTGGGGATGATAACCCAAAGGGGGAGGATGATGAGAAGGAGGTTTGGACGGCGAGGGCGAGCGGCGTCTGCCCGATATCCTTTCGAAGTGGAGCAACCGAACGACCGCCGAACGCCAGCAACAAACAAGTGCATTCATTGATTGCCAGAAGGAAGTTTGGCGAATCAACTGTAACTACCTTTGAGCCGTGTAAGATTTTTGCCCCCCGTCGCTTTCGTGCCGAAATCGGGGAAGTTGGAGGTCCCAGTTACCGCCTCCCTTTTTCATGGTTCTGAAGCATTGGTTAGTTACTTTCTTCCCCTCCATGTGTTTTGCGGAGAACAGCTGCAACGCGTGGAGCAAGAGGCCGAGGCGGCGCGCAAGACTCTGGGGCTGCAGACGGAGGAGGACAAGAAGCGGGCGCAGTTCGCGGACGAGCTCGAGAGGAAACGACACGTAGATCAGGTGCACAATAAAAACAACCAAATCGCATCTGCACATGAAGCGAGCGATCATCTCTGTTTTTTTTTGCTGGCGGCAACCCTCCGTGAAGGATTAGGACGGATAAACCGACCCGGCAGCAGTAGAGTTTGAAGATTCTGCTGGTGTTGTGCGGGTCAAATTCTTCAGGGTAATCGTCGGATTTTTTCCGTTCGTTTTTTTCCCGCCCTGGCGCTGCGTTAATGCTTTCTTTCTTCCCCGTAGTAGTCGGTATCGAGATATGTTCCTGTTCGCCAGCTTGAGGTTCTGCCAGCAGGCCAGGGCTGACCCTACTGACCACTAGTTACTGGCACGGAAGATGATCTCATTTAATGTGTACGGTCGTCGACGTGAACTTTTCCTAGATTTGCATGTCAACATGACGCGATCAATGTACTTGCGACTATGGGTAAATGGATAAACGACGGAAGATGTTTTGCTGTCGTTATTTTGACGCTCCTGCTGTTCTTGCTCTGTCGGGGGGTGCATGCATACATGCCTGCGACAGGTGCAAGCCGACCGCTACATGCGCGACGAGGAAATGCGTAAGCAGGAGGAGCTGACCCGCAAGCAGGAGGCCGTGAGGCGAAAAACGCTGGAGTACGAGGCAGAGCTGAGGCAGCAGACGGAGCTTGCCCGCGTCAAGGCCGAGACGGAGGGGAAGATTAGGCAGGAGAGGGAGAACCACGACCTGAGACTGGAGGAAGCTAGGGAGGGAGCGAAGGAGTACCGAGACACGGTGCTAGAAGGTGAGTTTTTGTGGGCCTCTTGCAGCTTCTATATTTTGCAGATGTGTTGTTTCTCGCGAAAGTTGTGTAGACATGGCCCATGTGGTGCTTGCGGATGATCTTTTGTGTTGATGCTTGGTGTTGCTGGAGTCGCTGAGGAAGCATCACGTGCGTCGTAGCGCGAGACAAAGGACATCGTATGAAAATGAGACAGGCAGGTAGGGAGAGTGTGTTGGACCCTCTTGCTTCAACACAAAGCTCTTCTCGAGAAGCATCGACAGCAGTACCTGGAATTAGAGTGGGATCCAAAACGTAGACGCTGCTTACGGATTACTTCCTACATTAGGCATCTTCGGGGTCCCAGTAGAGGGTCTATCTGGGCACACGCTCGGACGGCACATTCGCAACTCCCCCGCTCTACGAGCCCACCCCTGGAGCAACAAATGTGTTTTTCGTCCACGAAGGACGAAAACGGTACACCCACAGCTGGAACTCGGAATCTCGCTTGGTGTATTTATTTCCTCGATTCGGACGTTAGACACATTTCAGGCCTCACTCCCTAATAGTAACGCCACCCTCCTCTTGCCCCTCCCCCCCCCCCCCCCCCCCCCCCCCCCCCCCCCCCCCCCCCC